ATTATTATTATTATTATTATTATTATTATTATTATTATTAATATTATTAATATTATTATTAATTACTACTATTATTATTTTCTCAATCTATCTCTGAGGACCTGAGGAACCATTCGATGTTGGTCAACTGACGTCTTCTAGAACGATAAACTTGTCGATGGACCGCCACAATTAATATTCCACCATTAAAAACCTGTTTGGCACATAAGCATTGAAAGTTTATAGATTACCAATAAAAATTAGTTTTGTTTTGATGTTTCGTAATTTGTTTTTGTTTTATTTTGTAGTGTAATGGATAAGAGAACTGCGCCCGGATAGCTCAATTAAAGGTTCGAGTCCCGTCCGAATCCAAGTTTTGACCATAACTCGCCAACCTTGTGATACCAGTGAGAATGTTAATAATAACTACATCTATTATTGTGACAATTATCATTATTCCGTAACTGTATTCCTATTAAGGGGAGCAGAGTGCAATGAATGCAGTGCCAGAAAAGGGTAAGACGGCTGTCTGGGAGAGTAAGAAAAAATTTTGACTTACCCAACTCCCAACCCTCTTCTTCCTTCACATGCACTGTGCTCTACCATTCAAGTTGTTCTATATTAGTAGCATCAAGTAAAAAAATTGAGTATAGTACTTTAGTACTCGGTGAAACTTTGTACCCTCTGAATGACGTTGCCAGTCTGATTTATACCTATGTGTACACTTTTGACTGCAGTCAGACTTCGGCAGTATTACTACAGTTACCTACAATGTGAACTTCTGTTACCTATCCACATTGATGGCTCATGTGTGTGTTCTCTGAGTGGATCCCCTTTTTTCTATTAATATACCGGTTTATACTGCCTTTATCATATGGCGAACGCCCTGCCTGACCAATCAGGAGGCGCCTCCAGCCATTGCGACATCTCCGCCCATTTGATTTCTGGACAGCGCATAAACCTTGGAACTGGTTCTAATTATCACCGGTTCCTGCGCTGTTCGAACTCGTCACTCAATTTTTATTGTTGTTTTCAGTAGTCACCCTGATCCATACATCCATGTGTTCCGCCTGAATATTCTAGTTTGCATGATCTGAATTGTCTACTTGACAATCCTAATTAGGCTTATGATTTGAGGGCCACTCTATGCCATACCTCGACCATGCTGGTGCAGCTCTACCATCAGAGCAGCAACTCAAGGAGGTTTTCGACTTGGCTTTGAAAGTTCCACTAGCCAATCCTCATTCTCATCACATGACTGCCGCAACAACACATTCGATGGTACAGGATGCTCGCTTACGGTAAGCTTCATTGCATTTATTAGGTGATGATTTGGCAAGTTCAAGGATAGAAGTAATTTTGACATGATGTGTTACTGCAAAGTAACGCAATCCAATAAACTTAGACTATATATAGGTAGAAGTGCTACATTTTAGCCTATTATTGTTATGGTTATAATTATAACTTACAACAGTTATGCTGCTGTTTTATTTTATTTATATCGCCATTAAGTTTTCCATATCAGAGAACTTTCACTGAGTATTCCTCGAGATCGAGTAGACTATGTTGCTTGAAGTAAGGAGTAAGGGGAGGTATAGTAGGATCAAAATTGTCGCGTAGCGGCGAGAGAGACGCCGCGCCGAAGTGCAGTAGAATACAGCAGCAAAAAGAAATACAGGAACAAAAGAATCAACATTAGAACCATGTCTAATAGTAATCGCATCGATTGAGCTGTACGAAGGACGCTAGAACTGTAATAAAGAGACGGTTGACCCGTGACTGTCGCGCGCGGCAGATCGATTACACAAAACCGGTCCTACTGCCCGTCTCTCAGGAGTAAGGTGCCTAGATGGAGAGCGAGAGTAAATTTCTTTGGAATGCGCGAGGGATACGACTTCATCCGAAAGCTGCGAAGAGTTTCATTTATGTAAACCTAATAGTTTGCATTTTTCATGGTTTTGGAACACTTTGACGTGACTATGGAAGAATATGCAGTGGTTTTTACTGCTAATGCAACACATGCTCTTCGACTGGTTGCAGATAACTTTGCATTCAACGAAAGAGGCTCTTCTGAAACCCGCTTTTCTACAACTCCTTATGAAAAAGGTAAGTAGTTACATCGTAGACTCATTTGCACACACTCTGCCAGTTTTTCTTCAAGATAATGGCCCCTGTAAAAAAGGTACTTCTAGCGTATTTCTAGCCTGGGACTAGGGTAGAAAGGCTGTCGTACTTATGAGAGCAAACCCAAAGCTGAAGAGAGACTGAGCCAAGAAACAACTAGAAGAAGAACTAGAAAGGTAGAATCGTAGGAGCTAAATAAGTAGAAACTGCAGTGAAGGTGTAATGTCGGGGTTGTTGGGGAATCAAATTCCGATGTGGGTCAGGAAAATCCCTTGCACGCTTCTTATCAGCCGAATTGACCTCCCAATCGTCTGCGCTCTCTCAACGTGATAGTGTCAATGGTGTCTAATTGGAGTCAGTGAGGTTTAAATTGAACTTATTTCGGATAGAAATGAAATCTCCTCGATGTAATACTAATCGGTAGCCAATACTCAGTAATATCAATCGATTATAAGTGTTAGTAACTAAAGTCGCCACGAAGGAAACCTCACTATGTCAATCAAAACCAACTGAACAACTTACTGAAGAGGGGAAGCAAGGGCCAGAATCAGCTAACCAACATAACCTTGTCGATATGGGTACTAGGCTTGATATAACCGGCACTCAAAGACTTTTTTCTACAATAATGTTTGGGAATCCGATTTCAGCTAAAATCACGTCAACTGACCTCGTTCTAGGGCCGATATTTGCTTACCTGAGAGATTCACACAACTCAGTCGTTGGAATGAGGGAAATAGTCAAGGATAAAGTCAGTTTGGAGATAAATCACGATTCTAAAGAATATTCTTTTTTGAACATTCTTCATGCCATATCTTCCCTTAATTGGAAATTATGCAGTTCTAGGTGGACGAAGTTGTCTGTGCAGACGCTTGTGAGAACCTGCTCGTTAAGACTGAATGCAGCCTCTTCGCAATGACAGCGATGAGCAACTTCTGTGGACGAAAGTACGATCTACATCTTGTGGCAGAGCTGGAGCGGCTCGGTAAGTTCAATTGAAAACTCAGTCGGTCTCCGTCGATGGGGTGTGGTGCAGTAGGATCGAAATTGTCGCGTCGTGGGGAGAGAGACGCCGCGCGCGAAGGAATGTAGAAGAACGCTGCGGCAAGTTGGTAATACAGGAACAGAAGAACTAACTAAGAGTCATGCCTAAAATAATGATCGGATATCCATTGAGCTGCAAGAAGAACGCTAGAGCTGTAATAACGGCGAAGCGAATTGTCCGCGAGCCACGTGCAGCAAATCGATTACAAAAAACCGATCCTACTGCCCTTCTCCCCCTGCGATGAAGAGAGTGTTGAAGTGTAAGGTGCAGCGAGACTGTGCTGTTTAAAATGTATTAGACTATCACCTCAAAACGGCTAATAACTGTCCGTTTAAAGTGCCAACGCTCGGTGTATTACGCGCGGTCGCGTTGCGTATGGCAACGCCGCGAGCGCCAGCCTAATGACGCACCAAGCAGAAATACGAACCTCGCTAGAGTGGAGTTAGCAGCTCTTCGTGCCACATGGAATGCTTTTACCTTACTCCCATGGATGTTACGTTTGTAATTAGAGCTAGTAGTATTGTTTTCAGGATGGTGGATTTGTCTCGATGCAGCTTCGTTGGTTTCCACATCACCGCTGCCTCTCAGAGAGGTGCGACCTCACTTTGTCGCGATCTCCTTCTATAAAATGTTCGGCTATCCGACTGGAATCGGTGCTCTCCTCGTGCGACGAGTTACGTAACGTTATTACTAGTAAAGAAATCAGTAGCCAAGTCACAGAATATCCTTTTATCAAGTAAATTTTTTATTAAATTTTGTGTTTTAGATGCAATAGATCGTTTACGACCTCGAGGATTCGCTGGTGGGACGGTCAAGCAAATCCTCAGCGATGAATTTTATTCGGTTCTGAGAGATAACATAGAAGAGAGGTGAGTTAACATCAGAGGATTACCAGTTATCGCTGTTTTACCGACTCAGGAAGGGTTTTCAGATTAGAACATGGAACACTAAATTACTATGCCATTTGTGCTTTAACGAAAGGTTTCGACGACTTGAAGAGATACGGTATGCGGAGGGATATTTTTTTGAAGCTGCATATCATTTCATTTACAGCAGGCACTCTTTCTTTTGACTTACCCTTTCATTGCTCGGCCAAAGCGCTATCTTGTAATACGAAAAATGCCAACATTTTTCTCTACCGTAATTTATTACACGTACCTATGCACTCGAAATTTACTTATCAACATCATATTTTGTGAATTATCCTCTTGGCGTTCTCACTTTTATGTGCAACTGGTATTAGGGTGTCCCAAAAGTTTTGAGAAAATTTTGGTCATGTATTTCGCAACCATGCTGCGCAAGAAAGCACCGAGGCAGAGCCACGGAGAAAAGGTCAGTAAGAGGTCACGCTTAGCAGATCATCATAACAAGAGAACAGTATTGCACTTTATCTTTGGAAGTGAGTTATCAACATTTGAATTATTTTCGACTGACACGACTACAGGCGCCTTCTGCTTCATTACTACCGATCTGGTCACTCCGCCACTCAAGAGCGGAATGAATTTCAGTGGGGGGCGCGCGATTCACGCGCCAATATAATGAGGTCATCGCGCACGCAGCATCGTTTCAGTACCTTTCTGTTGAGCTGGACCGAATAAATTTGCAATAGTCCATGGCTTCATCATGCATAGAGCAAATCTCTTTACTATGACAAAAAAACCCCTTCGAAATTGAGAATTCACCTCATAGGTCAACAATTTACTAATCAAACGTTCAAAATAAGAATACCTTCA